GAGGGGGCTTGGGACCTTAAAAATAGCATCGCCCCCATAACCAGGCAGCTGCTGTCTCCTGAGAAATGAAGAAGTTTTTCGACTCGCGTCGGGAGCAGGGTGGCTCTGGCCCCGGATCGGGCACCAGCGGCGGGGGCAGCGGGCGGGGGGGGGCCGGCGCGGGGGCAGGTGTTCAGCGTCGGCCGGTACCAGGTGACGGTGGACGAGGTGCTGGCGGAAGGTAAGACCCCAGTGCCTTTTGCAGACCACTCTGGCTTTGCTTCTTTTCCCTCCCCCTTTCCCTCACAAAGCTGGACAGGGAGGCTTTGGCCTTCCCCGTGCACTCCGGCTCCCCCTCTATCCCTAGCTCCCCTCATATTTCATTGTCCTTGACAGACTAGCAATCCAGTGGCGTCTGTAAGCTGACGTTTCTGGTCTTCCTGTGTGTAAACCCAGTGTGGGTTTGCTGGATTTGGTTTTGTGGTTTTTTTTTTGTTTGTTTGTTTTTAATGCTTTGGAAATTGAGGGGATTTCAGAAGTGAATTGTTTCCCACCTTCCCTAAACTGGAAGTGGTTTTTTTTTTGAAAAAAAACAAACCCAACCTAAAATTATCAGATGTTTTGTTACAGAACAAGGTGCTGTAAATAAAGCAAACAGTGGCCTTCGCTCATAACTTTCTTCAGCTGGTTGCCTCCTTTCATACCTTAAGCAGAGAGGAATAAAACACTGGAGTAAACTCGATGTAGGTATGTCATGGCCATAGATAGGTTGAGTAAAGCTAGCTGTGATTTGGGATGAGGGATTTCTGTTCATGTGGGATTTCTGCAGGGGAGGCAGTAATCCCAATTGCATTTTTTTCAAAATAAAACAACTAAAGAACTGAAAATGAGCAATATGTATTATAAAACTCTATCTGTGCAGTCCTTGCAGTGCAGCAAGCTGCTGGTGGTATTTTTTTAAATTGTAACCAGTGCTGCTGCTTTAACTATCATTTTACATTTCATTTGTTTGAGCTGTAAGGAACCTTATGAATGGCTCTGGCTGGTAACCTTAGCCTCGACCTTCAGAGAGATGTTGGCTTCCTTAGACCTGCTCCTGGTCTGTCTCCTATGCAGCATCCTTTGCGATTTCAGTCAAAACAGTGTTTTGTTTAGATCTTACAGTTGCGAAGGAGAGGGTAGCTGCTGTATGAGAGCTGAGTGGGAGGGCCTGTGTTGGCTTTTACAGAAAGAACCCTAAAATGGAAAAGGGACTCTGTGTACACTGTGCATTCAGGTTTGTAAAAAGTCACCACAGCGTACAAGAAAATAGATCTGTGACCATCTTTCAGACATGGTTTCTGATATGTTCTGCTGCATGCTGAGCTGAGAGGAGCAGCAAAAACAGTCCTTCAGCTACTGACTATAGTGGTTTGGTTTTTTTTTTCCCCTTACTTGAAATTTGCAATATGGGTTTGCCTTGGCTGATATTTCCACGGCCCTTTTGGTCCTAGGAGCTTAGGAACTATATGAACTAAACCTGAGAAGCTGTCACAGTCTGTCTTTTTTTTTTTTAACGCTGACTGGCCTCATCCTGGTAACATGGGAAAACAGGCTTTTTTTGCTGATGAATAATCTGTTGGCAGGTTCTGCCCCAGTGCTGACAGCACCAGGAAGCAAGGCTGTGTGTCACTGGGCTCTCTCCTGCTCGGCAGGCCTAAGCTACAGCCACCAAAGGTGCGGCGTGGTAGCACAGATTGCATGGGAGAAGTGTCTGCCTTCTGTACTTTGCTGTCCTGGAGGAACTGCTGTTTGTGAAGCTTTTCCCCTCTGTCTCCTGGTTTCTTGGCTGGCCCCTGGGATGTAGCATGGCCTAGGGTTTGCTACAATTCTTAGATCTGCATGCATAGGCCAAGTGAGGTGCAGCAGGCCTCTAAAATAAGTGCTATGTTCTCTCCCTGACCACACTATAAGGCAAAGGAAGTTCTTTTGGTGAAATGTGCTACGCGGGTGTTTTCCTCCCAGTCAGACTCCTGGTGCGGGGAGTCTGAAGTCCCTCTGTGTGATGAGTGAAGCCTCCAAGGGGACAAGAGCAAGGTGGCTTGTAGGTTTGCGGGTTGTTGCCTTTTGATGGGAACAGAGGGTGAAAATGCTGTTTTGTTGTAGGAAAGGTAGGTCATCTGGGGAGTGTATGTGACTCAGAAGTGCTGCAGCTTTGCATACTTCTGGCCTTTTGGTGTAGCTGCCTGTGCTGCCCAAGTGCTGGTAAACAGCATTCTTTGACTGAGCTGGAGACCTGGGGAGTTCTCTGGCTACCTGGTCCCTGCACTATTGGCGTCTGGATCCTTGGCTGGAAAACTTTTTTTGTATCCGCAGTGAATTTT